AAACTCGGGAACACAGCATGCTCTTCCCTTGTCTGAAGGACATGCCACGGAAGAGTGTTTGACCCCAAGGGCAAGTCTAGGAACTTCAGGTCTCGAGGAGACAGACTGAGTCGTTTGGGAATGTAGTGATCACCCCACAGCTGGAGAATTCAAGCAGAAATGAGTGGGCGTGTGATTCAAGTGTTTGGGGGCTTGGACTCAGTGACAGCTCCCACCCTGAACTGCAGTTGTGATTATGGAATCATCTCTGTCCATCACAGATCTGGGTAGCCCTTGTCCATCTACAAGGCACCTACAGAGCAGGAAAGAACCTTCTTCCTCATTGCTTAGCGACCCTGACTGTTAGCTCCGTGCTTTCAGCCGCCTGTATGCGCTGTTGCCCAGCCAGACTCATCATTCTGGTGTCGGCAGATGGCATGGTATCTCCCCTTGAGAGAATAGGGCTTCAATTCCCAAGGAGTGGGAAACCGAACGTCCTTAAAGGCACAAGTGGGCTGTTCATGTGAGAACTGCCTGGTGTTTGGTGTTTGGAGGAACTGCAGTTAATTTAGCATGGTTCAGAATCGTGAAGGACCATATGTGCCCGACTGAAGGCTTTTGACTTACGGAGACAACAGGACGGAGAGGAACAGACGGATTGCAAAGACAGTTGTGACGCTGAGCAGCCAGGTCCAGTGACCACCGGTGTGTTGGAGGCAAGAGGGGAGGGAGAGTGGAAGATGGTGATAGGAGTTCTAGCTTGAGATACTGAGTCACTGGTATATCGGCTGCTTTCTAACAGAGAATGACGCCAGAAAGCCGAAGCACAGAGAGAATTATTGGATAGAGATTAATAGCTCAAACCAGTCTTTCAGGGGTCAGGGGACCAAATCTGGAAAATGGACAGAAACCTAGGTGGCTTTAGCAGGTCACTGCCCACTGAAACTGCTTGAAGCATGGAGACTACCAGCAGCGGCGGCCTGGCCGGGGTACTGGACGCTGCTCTGCTGAGGAGCTCCAGCCATCCCTACCCCCTGGAAGGGTGGAGAGGTAAAATCTGGCTTCTCTGACTCCCGGAGCCGGGGCTGGGGTCCTATCCTCTACCAGGAAGCTCAAGCAGGGGGATTCCCTCCAAATATGATGTGAGTCTGGCTGCTTGTCAGCCCAAGTAAGTGACATATTCACCGCTGGTAGTGATGTTTCTATAGAGGCCGGATGTATACTAAGAAGTGATTGAGTTTGGCTGCAGGTAACAGAAAACCCAAAATAAGTGTGCCTTAAACAAAGTAATTTGATGTAGTTTCCTCTGAGACAGAGAACCCAAAGGTAGGCAGTCTACGGTTGGTACAGTGGCTCTGTGATGTAATTAGGGGCCCACTCCCCTAGCTTTCTGCTCTGCAGTCCTTACTCTGATCATGGCCTTCCTGCCTTCAGGACGGCTGCTGGAACTCCGCCATCATGTTCGCATTTCACTGCAAGAAGGAACTTTCCTGAAAGCCCCGCTCACCGACTTCTGCTTACATTTCATAGGCCAGGGCTGCGTCACCTGACCCACCTCTGACTCTCACAGAGAGAAGACACTGCCGCTCTGAATAACTCAGGGTCTTTCAGCATGAACGAGGGAGAGGATGTATGCGGGGCTGGTCACTAGCTGTTTTTTCCACAGGACAGAAGAAAGAGGAGCAGGTGTGGGTGGGAAGACTTGAGCAGTGGTGAGTTTGAAGAGCCTGTGAGACTGAGGTAGATATTTTTTGCAGGCAAGTGGAGTCAGGGTCTGGAATTCCAGAGGAAAATCTAGACTGGAGGCATCGTCTTGTGTCTCCCTGTTATGTGGGCATCAATAGAGGCAATGGGGAGAGGATGAAAAACAGTTGAGGGTGGGAGGACCATCCTCAAACTCCAAGGAATGGCAACAGCCAAAGCAGCAGTTCCCAAGGTTGGTCCGTGGATCTTGGGAGTCCCTGAGATGACTTCAGGGACCCTCACAGGTAAAACTATTTTCCTAAAGCACGAAGATGTTATTTGCCGTTTTCACTATGTCGGTATTTGCACTGAGGGGTGAGAACCGCCATTAGCGTTAGCATCACCTGTCCTAGTAGTCATTGTCTTCTTTATCACCACGCGCCTGCAAGACAAAGTAATTTCAGAATTTAAAAACTGGTTTGACTTGAGAATGCTCTTGATACGTGTATCTACACCTCCAATTCTTAAGAAAACGGGTATCGCAAGATTATTCTTTGGAGCCTTGTTGGTAGTCGCAAAACATTGGAAACACCTAAATGTTCATACGTAGAAAGTGGTTGTATTCAGTCTTGGTTAATCTGCATCATACAGCAATATGCAGTTCTAAAAAAGAATGAGGAAGATCTCTATGAATGTTTGTGCAGCGAATTCCAGGACATACTGTCAAGTGAAACAAGCAAAGCCTAAAAGAGTCCCTACCGTACACGGCTCTTCATAGAAGAAGAGAGAAAAGAATACACACGTATATGCTCACTTGTGCAAAAGAAGCACAGCAAGGATACAGCAGGCGCCCAAGAGGCTGGTTCCCTGTGGGAGTGGATGTGAAAGGGCTGGGAAGCAGAGGGGAATACAAAGAGGGTGGTGGGGATGAGGAGGGAGTGACATTTCTCTGGCTCTTAGAACCACGGTCATGTTAACGCTCCCTTGATGGTCTGTAGTGATGGGCTGTCACTGCACTTGTGTGATGTTATCCCTGTGAATCTTTGGTCTGACCTGGTGTGAAAATATTTATGTTAAGTGTTATGCAGTATGAAAGGGAATTCTCTACTTAACAGCACTTGCCTAGGAGATACCAGAGTGGGAGGCTTATTTCACTGCAACAGGTCTAACCAACTGAGCTGCTCAAGACCTTGTACCCTGAGCAACCCTGAGCCAGACCCTCACTGGACCACACAGCAGACACTTTTCTGACCAAAGAACGAGGGCTGTTTTAACCAATTACTTCCTACCCAGAGCACTGGTTTCCAGTGCTTAATCAACATTACTATCATTAATTTCTCCTTTCCAGCCCTGAAGACCCCTGACTTTATCCCAGAAGGGGGAACACTGGTTCTGTTCTCTTGCCCGGCAAGTTAGTAATTTCAGTTTTGGTGACTTTTATTTTTTGTTTTTGTCCGTGATTCTGTCTCAGATGGTCTTTGATTCTTTGTCAACAGACAAGTGAAATATTTACATAATTTGAAATGCCCTTATACACTCCTTGCCGAAATTTCTTTTATAACCAAATGTTTTAGCCAGATTTTGCAAATGTACAAATGAATAATTTGCATTTCGTCTTCCGTAAATTCCTTCACATCATTCGCCGATGCAGATGGTAACACACATGAAATTGTCAGCAGACATCAGGCAGAGAGAGGAGCTGGAAATGACTGAGGGGCTGGTTCATTCATTGGGTAGCTCCCCAGACCCTGCGTGGTCAACAGTGGGTCTGTATTTTCAATTGCATGAATAAAATCACAGGCGTAAATAAAATCATGGGCGCTTCTGCCCCTTTTCTGTTCATCTTGGGCATGTTGTCGATGACGCTGACATTTCTCATTTCAGGGATGACTATACCGGAAGAAGATGCCGATGTGGGACAAGGCAGTAAATACTGCCTTGTGGCAATCGGAAGACTCCAGGTAAGAAAAAGCTCACAGCTTCTTCTATCTCCAAGAGGGCTTATTAGTGCAAAGAGTAAGAACCTGTAGGTTTGGATGACTATTTTGGTCTCCTGTGTCCTCCCCGTTGTTGGGTTCCATGTCTCACTCTGGGAGAAGGATGAGGCTGAAACTGGGAGTAGAAAGCGGGACTGTGAGCTAGGAGCAGCAGAGTTCTTGCTTCACTGAGGGCCTGAATCAGTCCATCCCCTGCACTTGTACTAGTTATTCTGCTTGCATCACACCCGTTTAATGACCGTGACTGTCTCCCCATGGGATAAAGCACTCACTCATCTTAGAGCCTCATCTCCTCCCTCCCATCTCTCATGCCTTATTCCCAAACCACATCACTCCCTTTTCCACAATCCCACCAGGCTCTTCCCTACCTTTGTGGGTGTCTGCAGGCTGTTCCTTCCACCTGGTATTGCCCTGTTTCCCTTCTCCTTTCAAAACTCCTTCTCCTCCTGTTTCCTTCCTATTTCCTCATCTTTCAAGATCCAGTAAAATGATTTCATTTACCTGCTTAGTTGAAATGAATCAGTCCCTCCTCCCTACACGCCTGGTGTTGAGTTCATACGAGAGGTAGGACTCTCCACGGTCTGTTTTTGTGCAGGTAGTTGAGCTCATGCTCCTTCCCTGCGAGCTCCCCAAGGGCGGGAAACGTGCCTTTTTAATCTCATGACAGTTAAATGTGCTGAGGAATGCAAAGCCCACCGGCTTAATGTCTGCACACACAGGAGCCACCCAGTCTTCCTCCTTTAGGCTTGAGGCTTTGAGGGCCTTGCCTGTGCTGATGATGGGGACATACAGGTGTAGTTCAGAGGACACTAACCTTCCATGTCCCTGGTTTCCTAGGTCTTACCATTTTCAGACACATGAATAAACTGTTTCATTCACATATGATAAGCACTGGTTATTCCTTGCAGATGGGGAAGAAAGAATACTTGGGTAAATCCAGTTCACTAATGTAGACCTTCCAAGTATTCTGACCAGTTCCTTAGACTCGGTTTGCCATCCCCGGTAAAGGAAAGGTGGGGGAAGGGAAGGGCATTGACATTTCTGAGCACCAACTGTGTGCCAGGCCCTGGGCCAGGGTTTCATGTCCAGTGTCTCTTTGAACCTCACAACCACCCTATGAGTTTCCCTATTCCCAGTGACCGAGGAGGAAACTGAAGTTCAGAGACGTAAAGAAAGTGGCCCACAGTTGCGATTAGTCCGAGGTGTGACCAAGACAACCTGAAACATTTTATACTCATTGTGCTCATGACCTGGAAGGATCTGTGAAGTAAAATCCACGTGGCTTGTTCCCGTTCTCCAATGTGGCTCCCTTCTCCATCCCTGTCTCTGTTAAAACCACCGCCACACGTTTCTCCACTCCAGGTGACCAGCTCTCCCGTGTGCATGGACATGAGCGGGATGTCGGTGCCCACGGAATTCTTATCCCGGCATAACTCTGATGGGATCATCACATTTGTGGACCCGAGGTGCATCAGCGTGATTGGCTACCAGCCGCAGGTGGGTGGTTTTGAGCCACGGCAGTCGGCTAGAGATTTCATTTTACTAAAAATGCATCTACCTCATTTGCTCAAGGTACAACACAATGACAGCATAGGGAAACAGCATAAAAAATACCCATCTCCCTGCCTAGGCAGGGTAATGTCCTTCCAAAGCAATAACGAACACTGACTGCAGTTGTGCCGCTTAAAAGATTTACTCTCCATTTTTTGGCCTCGCCATTCTGCTTCTCTAAGCTGATTTTTCCCAAACAAGAGTTGAGAGTCTATGAAAAAGGGGCTCTCTGACCAGTTAATTTTGATTAACGCCAAACAGGAAATCTCCTTCTTAGAAACTTTAAAATTATATTAATGTGAAAGAATCTGAAAAGTCTTAAAGATGTTCACTTAATTTTGCCTGACAGCTTGTTTCTCAAATGTATTTGGAACCTCTTTATACTGGGGGCACATTTTCAGGTTTTTGTTCCAAACCTTTTTTTAAAAAACAGTCAGTGAGAAACACAAGAGTCATGAGAAACACCAAAAGGCAGGAGAGATTGTTCCAAATTAAGATAAAGCAAAGCGACAGAATAATAAAATGCAGTGTAAGAGCCTTAATTGAGTCCTCAGCCTGAAGACATATAGCTTATAAAGGACATTTGGGAGACAAGTGAGCAAATGTTCATATGTATGGAGTATCGGGTGACTTTATCAAATAATTACTGACTGTTTCAGGTGTAATACGATATGTTATGGGTTTGTGAGATCAGGTCATTTTTATGAGATACAGACTCAGGGAGAAGTGTTGAGATTTCTGGCGACTTATTTTCAAATGATTCAACAAGAAATGTTTAAGTATGTGTGTATTTGTGTCGGTATGAAAGCTACTTCACTTCTGTATTTTTTAATATATTTCACTTGCATATTTATGTTTTCATGTATATTAAAGAAAGAAGAAATGCAAGTGTGGCAAAATATTAGCAGTCAAGGGACGGGATGCCCGGTATTCATTCTACTACCCTTTCCATTTTCTGTAGATTGAAATTTCTTTCAAATAAAAAGCATTTCTGGGGGAGGATACAGCTCAGTGGTAGAGTGCCTGCCTAGCATGCACGAGGTCCTGGGTTCGATCCCCAGGGCCTCCGTTAAAAAATAAATATATAAACCTAATTACCTCCCCCTTCCCACAAAAAAGTGTTTAAACAAAAAAAGAAGGAAAGAAAATGATCTTTGTTCTGGGGAACGAAATTTAGGCACGTTGATATGGGTATTTTAATTACTTGTATGTTTCAGAACTAGAAACAGAACAGACTGAAACACTGGAACCATTCATATGGTTCTACATCTCTAGATCCATGCAAACTCCAGATTCTGGGATGGAACGAAGTGGGAAATGAATCCGATTCCAGATTCACCATAACCTCTGATGGCAGTCTATTTCCAGCCAGATCCACTGATTTAGAGGCTTCCTGGCACACAGAGAAGACTTTGTTTCCACTGTCAGTGTCAGCCCCCACTGAGGCCATTTGCTGATTTGGGTTTTGATCGATGACTTAGTTTGAACCCTTTGCCATTTAAAACATTGCCAACTGGACCCCTTCCCTTTAACACATTTAGAGTTGCCTTTTGATGGTTTATCTTATTCTAGTTGGTTTCATTGCAAAACACACTCTTGTTCTGGGTTAGTGCTAGGTCCTTTGACCAAGACGTAGATGAGTGAAGGTAGGTAGTAAACAGGCTTTTAATAAGTACAGGTTTTTTTATGATAGGAGCATTTCTTCAGCCACAAGAGAGCTCCAGTTTCCCCAGTTAAACAGCTCCAGGTTTCGTAGGCATCACATCTGTCCTCATGCTGTCATGTGCTTTCTTTATGTTTATTAAAATATGTTTATTACAGGTTGCCTCTCCAAGGCAAACAAAAATAAAATTGCATTCTGCAGATGCTGATCTAGTGCCTTAGGAAAATTAGACGTCAGTATCGAACATGCCAAAGGGACTGAGGTTAGGGTAGCAGACGCCAGCTACGTGAGTGCTCCGGGGACAGTTTTCACCTGCCTTTTCTCCCCTTGTGATGGGATGAGCTGAAGGAGGTGGACTGAAGGGAATATACGTGCACGCTCTTGTCTAACAGCGATCTGTAAATAACGAAAGGTGGGCTTAGGGATTACTAAAGCTTGTCTCTTTACTTAGGATCTTCTAGGAAAGGACATTTTGGAATTCTGCCACTCTGAGGATCAGAGCCATCTGCGGGAGAGCTTCCAGCAGGTATCACCAGTGTCCATTTACAGCTGATGTAGCAACCGGGTACGTGGGTGCAGTCCGACCGTGCGCAGGCAGGCCGCAGGGTCCCACATGCGGCGTCAGTCAGGGCCCCTGCCGCGGAGGAGCTCACGGTCTAGTGGGGAGGGCGGGCCGTCAGGAAGGAATTTCCGTGTCCTGGGAGAAGAGCAGAGGGTGGAGAGGTTAACAAGGTGGGGAAGGGGTAGGAACAGTCTCCCAGGGGAGGGAATACTTGGGATGCATCTTAAAAGATGAGCAGAGAAGACATGACAGAATATTCTAGATAGAAGGGCCAGCATGAGAGATGCAAAAGAGCATGGCCTGTTGGGAGAGTTGTAAGTAGTTCCTTGGGGCTGGACTGACCCTGGCTGACCTGTAGGGAGGAGGTGGGCAGCGGTAAAAATGAAGCCAGTGAAGCCAAATTACGAAGGGCCCCCTGTGCCTCTGCTGAGGGGTTCAGATTCTCTCCTGAGTCATGTAAGTGAGGATTCCTTGGGTTTGAAGCGGAGCAATGTTTTTGAAAAACCACTTTGGCAGCCCAGGTATGCAGATGAGACAAATAACTGGAATACACCTGGGACAAAAGGCAAATCAGGAGGCTGCGGCAGTTGCTCAGGTGAGAGGTGGTGAGACCAGAAATGGGGCAGGAGCAGTGGGAATGACAGGGTAAGGCCACTTGAGGAGACGGTTGTTGGGTTAGTGATGCTTTGGATAGAGACGGTGAAGGAGAGAGAAGAATTGAGGATGACTGTGGGAGCCCGCGAGGAAGGCCACCCTGCTAACTGCATCCTGAGCATCATCACCTTCAGCAGGTGTTTACTGAGCACCTACTGTGTGCCGGGCCCCCTGTAAACCCCTTTTGCACACGCTGTTTCCTGAATCTTCACAACAGTCATAGGAGGGGACATCACTATCTTCATGCCACAGTGAGTTGTGACACTCCTTCAGGTCACATGGCTACTGAGTGAGAGGACCAGGGTTCTGACTGGGGTCCTGCTCCCTCTGGAGCCCCGGGCCAGCTGGGAGGGGCAGAGCCAGTTCCTCTAAGGGCTCTGGCACTCGATTCAGTGCCCTGCTCCCCCACAGAGAAGAGAATGGGCAATGTTACAAGAGATATTTGCCTTTGACTTACTTCACTTAGTATGATCATCTCTAGGTCCATCCACGTTGCTGCAAATGGCATTATTTCATTCTTTTTTATAGCTGAGTAATATTCCATTGTATATATACACCACATCTTTATCCATTCACCTTTCAGTGGACATTAAGGTTGGTTTCATGACTTGGCTGTTGTAAATAGTGCTGCTGTGAACATTGGGGTGCACGTATATTTTCAAATTTGAGTTTTCTCTGAATATATGCCCAGGAGTGAAAGTGCTGAGTCATATGGTAACTCTATGTTTAGTTTCTTGGGGAAACTCCGTACTGTTCCGTAGTGGCTACACAAAATTACACTCCTACCAACAGTGTAGGAAGGTTCCCTTTTCTCCACACCCTCTCCAGCATTGAGAGAGATCCCCTAACCTCCTTCTCAGCCCCTCATTTTCCCTCTGCAACAACTATGCCAGTTTTCGATTGTTTTATTTGTTTTGTCCTTTTTTTCTGTCTTCTCTACTAAAACATAAACTCCCTGTGGGCACATCTCCACATCTCTGCTTCTCACCATCATCTCCACCACTGGATGGAGTTTGCACGTGGGTGGTGACTTTTAATAAAGTGGTCTAAGTGGATCATCACCCAGAGCAGGTGACTTTTGCTTTAGTAGAGTGTGAAATCAGAATGGTTAAACATTGCAATAGTTCTGTCTTTCATGCCAGATGTCTGCTAAGTATGTGGAAATCGCCTAGCATCGTCCTGTTTGGACTGGGTTGCTTCATGTTCAAATGGAAATGAAGCTATAACAGTGATGTTAGTAATCAGCCAGTCCCTTTGTCCCCATGTTATTCTGTGTAATCCTCAACCCTACACACTGTATTATCCCCACTTTTTCCACAGTGGAAACCAGGACTCAGAGAGGTTTAGCCACCTGCCCCGAGTCACACAGCAAGGTGATAACACAGCTAGGGCTGGAGCCTGCCTCCTTCCAGAGCACACATCCCTATCACCCCACCCCACACACAGGCCTCTCCGTCTGACAGCACGTCTAAGATATTAAACTGCTGACGCTGTCAGAACCAGGTTAATTTTGAAAAGGAAAAGAAGGAATTTAACATCTGATCCTACCCTGCTATCCAGCTTAATTAACTCTCACTCTGTGAGCAGCCCCCTCATTCCGCAGGCAGGAGGCAAAGCCAAAGCAGCAACGCCCGAGAGCCGGGGGCCCAGGCAGGTCACAGGCTCAGCGGGCAGCGGCCGGCAGCCGCGCGGACATCCTGGAGGGCACCGGGCCCGGCCCCTCGCTTGTGTTCTTTGGGCTCCAGCCACCGGCGGCCGGGGGTGGGACACCAATGTTGACAAACGGGAGTGGCTTGTTTTTGCAAAAGCACGGAGGGGATTGTGTCAGTTCAGAGTCAGCCTTTGAACTCTGGATTTAAACAAAAGTATTTGAATGGCCCAGACGTGAGACCCTTAGAGTGGGCTCGAGTTTGTGAGGAATCTGAGGTTGGGGGGTGGGAGCGACAGCCTGCCAGCGCAGGGGCTGGGAAAACTGAGTCCACTCTTCGTTCTGCTCCTGGAGTCCCTCTGGATCATGGTTCACCTAGCAGTCAGAGGGCAGAGTGGAGCCCGGCCAGGCTTTAGGGCGGGTTCTGCCATATCCGTCTCCTCTCTGCTCAGACGCCTTCCATGATGGTGACGGTGATGATGAGGGCTGTTTTCAGGAAGAGCTGGGCGAGGCTGGGTCTGTGCCTGGCCTTCATGACCGCAGGTACTAGCATTACACCTGAGTAAAGCGCAGTTGAATGCAGCCACCTGGTCTCCAGGCCAGGACTGCGATCCCTGCACTGCCTTACATGTGTGGTCCTGGTCCCCATCACACCTAGGGTTTCCAGCCCCCAAACATTTGCTCATGCAGTGCCTTCTGCCAGGGGGGGGCCCTCCCCACGTAGCTTCACTCGCCAACATTTTGCCCGCCTCCCAGTGTGTGTTCCTAACCCCATCTCCCTCCGGGAACCCTTTCTGGATCCTGAGAACATGCTGCCTCCTCGACTTCCTGGTAACCCCGTGGCACCTGGTCGCGTGTTTCTGTAGTTGTATTTGACGCTCTGTGTTTAGGTTACAGTTATCCATGCACCTGTCCTGTCCGTGCTTGGCGAGAAGCTCTCTGGGGACAAGGATTCTGTCTCAGTTCTAGGGATTCATGAAAAGACAGAGAGCACTGGGGTCAGGTGGACCTGGGATCCCACCCTGCCTCTGCCCCTCCTCAGTCGCCAGGCTTTGGCAGGATATTTAAATCTTTTGAGGCTCAGTTTCCAAAAACTCAAAATACTGCTGGGAGGACTCCGTGAGGAGACATGTACAAGATGCTTGTAAGTTGGACCCCAGGAGGGTGCAGGGCTGAGGCTCCCTCCCTTCTCAATTTATCCACAGCTCAGGGCTACGTTTGCACACAGACGGTGCCTGTGAGTGTCTGTTATGTGGAGTTAAAAAATTTCACACCATCTCAGGCATCCTGGTTAGAAGAAACATGAAAAGGCACCCTCCGTGCACTGCTTGAGAGCACAGCAGACGTGGTCTCACGTCTCTGTCCCCTGTGTTTTGTGCAGATTCAGAGTCCCCCATGGGACCTCTCAGAAGGCCAACTTGAGAGGCACATGGCCTTGACCTCTGTCCTGTTGCCGGTGCCCCGACCTGGCCTCACCCCATGGCTTTGCCTCCTCATGTGTGGTGCCAGGAAGTGTTCCCCCGTCTCTGAGTTTTTGTGTTAAACAGAGTTAAGAATTTCTTAATGTGAGGTATGAAGAAATAAATCCATGAATACAATGTCACTACATCTCTGAGTGAGATCATTACTTCACAGGGGTACTAGCATCAAACCCAGGGTGCCCTAGCAGCCAAGGCAAAAAGGGAAACACCCCAGCTTATAGAGTTTTCATGATCTGATTTGTAAAAGCCGAAAATTTCTGATATAACATGGGCATTGACTAATTGGTTTCTCACGTGGTGGCAACAGAGTGACCTAAATGCAGGGCCCTGTCTCAAAGGGGAAGTGGACAGAGGGTTCCCCTCGGGTCACTGCTCTGTCTCACTCCCTCTATTCCTGTCTTTGGCTTCAGCGTTCCTATTCGGAGCCCCCGCTGGCCCTCGCAGAGCCTGCGCAGCCTGGTGCCTCTCCCTCCTTCTGTCTGGCAGCCTCCTTCCTCCCGCTGACCTCCTTCTCCATGTGTTTCCTCAGGTGGTTAAGCTGAAGGGCCAAGTGCTGTCGGTCATGTATCGATTCCGCACCAAGAACCGGGAGTGGGTGCTGATCCGCACCAGCAGCTTCACGTTCCAGAACCCCTACTCTGACGAGATCGAGTACATCATCTGCACCAACACCAACGTCAAGTACGTTCCCGCCTCCCTCTGCGGTCTCGCGGCGCTGCCGGCAGCTGGAGGTCCCCGCAGGGACTCGGGAGCAGGACGAGGGGAGGTGTCTGCCCACCACTGCTTCCCACTGCGTCCCCCTTCTCATTTCCCTCTCAATTTGAAAGACCCCCGGGCTGAGCGATGACCCCCAACACACTCCCTCTCCCGCAGCACAGCCAGTTCAAGGTGCTCTGGTTCCCCATCCTCTTCTCGTCCCCTGAGTGCAGAGCCCAGCGGAGCAGAGCTGGGTGCTCTCTGGTGTGCCTGCTGCCTGTGTCTGGACCTGCTGAGGCCAGGGCAGGAGGAGCGAGGCTGAGCCTCTTGGCAGCTCTGGGGCACAGGGGCAGGTGGCTTGGGGTTGGGCACCTCGGGGACACGTGGTTTCTCTGCTGCCCAGTCACTGACGCCCTCCTCCCAAGGACTCTGCTGGCTTCACCTCTGCCTGATCCCACACATCAGCACGCAGACCTCTGGACTTGGCGTGCCCACCACCCCCACTTCCCGGCTGTGTGACCTTGACTGGCGTGTCCCTTCTCCTCTTAGTCTTCATTCCACCCATATGTGGAAGGGGTCATGATCTCTCTCTCTTGGGTTTCCATGAGGATTCAGTGAGGTCCTAGCTGCCAGCAGGTCACACCTCCTCTCTGGATTTATTCTCGAGGAAATACAAGTCCAAAGAACCAACACGAACAAAGGCAAGATGACGTCCAGGTGTACGGGGGCACACGAGAGCCATGCCTCCTGTGCTGTGCGTGAGATGAGCTGACACGGGAGAACTGTCCCCGTGTCTCCTGTACCGTTCAGAGTCCCCGCCGTCCTTTCTCCCAGGCTCCACACTGAGTCGGTGGAGTCTGTTCCCACCCTGGCCACCTCCCCTCCTCGGCTACTAACAGCCCCCTGGGCGCTGATGCCTCCAGGCCATCACTGTGGCCTCCTGGCTTGCGTCAGGGCTCTCTGCTGCCATGTCCCAGCTCCCTGGATTTGGGGGCTCCCCTCTGGGTCCCATGAAGCAGCCTCCTTTCCAGGCGGCACCACCCTCTGTGTCTCAGCCTTGACCCTGCTCCTGGGCCGCAGGACAGGTGGGTCCGCACAAGATCCCCCAGAGGGCAGGTGACCTGGGTTTCAATCCCAGCTCCCAACTGGGCAAGTCTCCTGTCCTTTCTAAGCCTCAGTTGTCTCATCTGTAATATGGGAGGAACAGCAGAACCACCCCCCCTTCCTCAGACCCTGCGTGTCCCCTTGTGTGACTCGCTCTGGGCGGAGCGGCGGCCCTGGGCAGGCGGGGTCTGTGGCCGTTGTTGCGATACTCCGGCGGCAGTGGCCTCCCCCCTCCACCTGCTGCAGCTGCTCGGCAGTTTCCTGGCTCCTTCTCCTCGGGCTGCCCAACGTCGGCTAAGCGCGCCGCCAGCTTTCCTCCAATGGCGCACATCCTGTTGCCTTCCAGCAAACAGAGGAGCCGGGGCCCTCACGTGAACCGCGCCTTGTTCCTGCAGGTCTCTGTCTCTGTCCCCTCCCCTCCTCCGGCACTGGCTCCCCGCCAGGGCAGGGCCTCCTCCCTCCAGGGCCCAGCCCTCCACTTCCTTTCAAACTCGCAGCACATCCTCTGTCTCCTGCAGAGGCCCGAGCCCTCACCCAGACCCTCGCCACAGGCTTCCTCCTCTCCTAGGCGCGTGGCTTCTTGATCTTAGAAAGCCCCCGTCTTGTCAGTCGTCCTTGCGCTCCTCCCCGTTGGCCCTGCCACGCGTCTCTGCTGGAGCCCCTCACCCTTCATCTCTTCTTGACCCCCGTCTGCCTGGCCTTGGCACCCGGCCGTGCCAGCTTGCTTAGGAGCCCAGGTCAACAGCTCATTTTCCCCACACTGTCCGACCAGCTCCTCTCTCTGCACCGCATCCCTTGGCTTGCCTGATGCTCTGACTCTTCTTACATCTCCGTCTTCCAGGCGAGACTTTCTTGGCTGTAAGAGTAGCAGGAGCAAATAAGAGTGAGTGATAGATCCAGGTACGCAAAAAGGTAGCATTGTTTTTTAATATCTGGGTTTCTCTAGTCACTGCTTGGTAAACTCGGTCAAATTGAGGGGTTTTTACTTCTCCCACAGCCTCAATGTGCGCAGGAGAGGGAGCAGAGAGGCGCCCTCTAGTGCCAGGCCTCTGTCAGGCCCTGGCTTTGGTCAAGATGGGGCAGCTTAAGGACCCGGGGAAGTGTTAGACGGGCTCAGACTCCCGTGGCTCCCTCTGTGTTCAGCAGATGGGGGACGGAGGTGACAGGTGTTCTCACTGACCCGGAACCCGGTGCTGGCAGTGGGAGCCCCGGGGGATGAGGCTGAAGTAAGCACAAGAGCAACAGGTCTGCTTAGCATCTGTTCAAGCCCCAGCTCATCCGCCAGCTCATACCTCCTGTCACTGCCCCTCTGGCTGCGTCAGCTGCCTGTGCCAGGAGCCGTGGGGATGGGCAAGCCCATCACACATTCAGAGCCACGAGCACCGCTCTAGAACTCTCGCCCTTGTGATGCCAACATATAGACTGGCTCCTGGTGAGAGCCACCTCCTCTTACGGTCCTGTCCCTCCTCCCTTCCATCCTTCCCTGTCTGCCTCGTCTCCTCCTTTTCCATGCCTGTGCTCTTTCCGGGTCTTCCTGCAGCCGTGTGTGTGTGTGTGTGTGTTTGTGTGTGTGTGTGTGTGTACGCACGTGTGCACATGGTTCCTGGTGTCTGTTGCCTGTTGCTGAGAGAAACTTTCAGGAGGTGGTGGGACCAGCCCTTGCCCTGCTCTCAAGCCCGAGTCCCACCTGTCTCTGGAGTCCTCCTACAGCAAATGCGGGCCACCCTCCACGGTGGAGACCACGGCTCGGGGCTTGGGACCAGGCAGAGTCCTCGAGACTTGGGTCAGAAGGGCAGGCTGAAGCTCCCCTTTTTTAAGTTTTTGGAATTTTTGCATTTTTATCATTCTTCATTCATTTTCAACATGAACACAAGCTTCAGCCATCAAAATTGCCTTTCGTGCAACTCAGTTCAACACAGCAGGTAGCCACTGAACCCTGCAAGAGGACATGGGCGTGTGCCAGCTGTCCAGTAAATTCGGGGTGCCTCTGTTATGGTCCCTGCCACCCTGGAGGGCCCCTGTCACATAGGGAGTGTGAGAAGCGGCAGAAGGGAGGGACAGGGGAGGTAGAGAGTTAACACTTCCACCCAGGGCCTCCAAGAAAGCATCCCTGGCAGGTAGCGCTGCAGAGGAGCCTGGAAGGAAAGTAAAGACCTTCCTTCTAAAAGCAGTCCCCAGCAGAGACTTTGATTTCTTTTCCTGAAAGTCAGGCAGCTTTGACAGAGCATTCTGTCCTGAGGGTGCCCCTACATCTCTCCTCGGGGCGATCGCTCCTGGCAGCTAGGTTAGATGGGGTGAGAATGCCCCCCCAAGGCACAGACTCACAGCAGAGGCCTGAACTAGTGTCTACTGGACGGGAAGGACTTTAGTGGGCAAAGATGGTAGGAACTGTTAACTGTGGACAGCAGAGGGCAGTGGCAACCGTGATGTGAACAGTCAGCCCCGCTTCAAATTTTTGGCTCCGCGTCGCCAGCAGTGGGCAGACTCGTCGGCAAGGTGCTTACGTGCTCTGTGCTTGGGGGAAAAAATTGCCAACCCCCAGTTGCATTAGGTCAGGAGCGTCCAAAAGAAACTTCCCGGAGAAATGGAGTCTTAATGGTTAGCATTTGTGTGAAGGTGCTGAAAAGCAGGCCTTTTTATCACTTGTTTGTTTTTTTCCTTTTACACTGAAGTAGGAAAATGGAACGAAGCCCAGGAAACACAGGCTCCCATTTCACACGCTGGTGGCACACTCTGGAACGTGCCCACGTCGTGGTGTTTCGGGCTCGACACTCTTTCGGGGAGGCGAGCCGAGGGCTGTTGCTGAGCGGGGGTCACTTGCAGACCTGAGGCCTGTGCTTCTTGTGTCCAGCAGCTCTGTAGGGAAGGACCGACGTCTTCCCTCGGCTCTGCTGAGGCCGAGCCCTCTGTGTGACGGCACCTTCCTACACTGCTGTAGGGCTTCAGAACCACACCTGCGTGTTGTGCTGGTGTGTGTGTGTGTGTGTGTGTGTGTCCTTTAAAGTCCACCGCACCTGCAGTCACAGAGCCCATGGTCCATGCCCCCACGTCTTCAGGGATGGCTGCCTTGGGCCCCCCTCATCTGGCCAAGGGTTGTCAGGATGTGGGAGCAGGGAGTAAAAGGAATTAAGGAGGACCTACAAGGAAGGTGTCATTCCCAGTATCTGCAGAGCTTAGAGTCAGGAAGGGGCTGAAACACCCTGTCACCATGCCCCAGCGTGGACTTGACGTGGGTCCCACCCTCTCATCCACCTGCAACAGACAACCTGGCAGAGAACTGGGCCCCGCAGGTTCTGTCTGGCCCATCTCTTCCTCCTCTGCCTCTTCTCCAATGTCTGAGACCTTTGCCACCTGCCAGGTGATCATCCGTCCCCCACCCTGGCCAGTTCCCCTGCCCTCCGTCTAGCCCTCGCTGAGCCAACCCACGTGGCCCCAGAAGCCGTCTCTCTAAAGCCACACTCACGCCACTCCCTGTCCCTGATCAGATCAGCCCCAACCCGCCGCACAGGCATCAGTCAGTGGTGGGTATTATTAGCCTCCCTCTGGTCAGCTGAGCTGGCCGAGCCCCGAGATGCCTCTGAGCTGGATTCCGGTTACTCCCAGGGGTGTGATCCCACGCTGCCTCTGAATGCCCCCACAATGGCTGGTTGCTCACTTAGTCAGGCTGAGTAAAAACCTTGGTCCTGAGAGCATCAGAGATAATTGACAGCATCTGCCCAGCATCCTGCACCTCCTGACACAGGGAGGCCACGCTGACAGGAAGCCCAGGCTTGAGGCATCTGTTTTCTAACCGTCAGCTCCTGTCCCTCCGCTAACGGGGGTGGGGGGGCAGCAGGTCTACTGCAGTGGGAGCCCGGTTCCCTCACGTGTGCTGTCGGTCAGCTTTCAACTGAGCCGCTGTGTTTCTCCCTCTCTGGAATTTGCAAGCACACCAAAGGTTTATTTTTATTCCACGGCCATGAAATGTCCAAGAAGGCCCCTTAGGTCTCTGCTCAGGAGGGGGCAGCCCGCAGGGCAGAACTTCTTCCACATGCGCTCAGCTGTGGAAGCGGAAACCAAAGGCCGGGACAGGGATGCTGATGTCCGGACCACAGAGGGAGTGAGGTTAGGATCCTGGGGGCTTGCCAGCCAAGGCTGAGACTTTCTTTTCTTTCTACATCCTGGTGAAAGGAGCTTTCTGTGGTCTAAAGGCCCCCAAAGCAGCAGAGCTGAGAGCAAATCCCCTTCCTTATGCCTCTGACCCTTACCATGCTTCTGCGCAAATTAGAAGCCCTCAGCTTTGCTCCCTGCATTGCAGACCCACACCAGGGTTCGCGGCCCGCCTATTGGACTGAGCTGGGTTTCTGTCCCATTTGTCCCTTGGCCAGGCACCCAGGGCACAGCAGCACAATTGCCCACACGCCGAGATTTTGGACTTGGTCTGGACACCAAGGCCGAGCCACGAGTGGTGGTTATTTCCTAGGAAATAAAAAAAAACATACGGGTTGAAGATTGGGTTCTGGGAAACTTGTGAAAGGAAGAGAGGGTGGGTGGCCCACGGATGCCTGCCATGGAGGGGAGTTCACTTCTCCAATCCCACAAAAGTTCCAAAGCACAGTTTCTTTTTCTCCCACCTGATAGCTCAAGATGGTATCTTGTTGGGCCCACAGCACTGAGATAGGAGGCCGGGAATGATGGTTCCTGTTACTTCTGTGCAGAATCTACAGTCAGGCAGACCTGGCTTTGAATCCTGCCTGTGTCATACAGAACAGTGGCACCCTAGACACAGCACTGAAACTCTCTGTGCCTTACTTTCTTTATCTGTAAAATGGGACTTTTGCAGAGATGTGAAAATACTGGCCGAGTACTGGCTCTGAGTACTACACCCAGATTTTAGAGGCTTTGCAAATGGAAGATGATGGTCCCCTCAGGTGCAAACCAAAATAAAACAAAGCAAAACTGTAAGGTAAGAATAAGAACATGTAGAAGGCTATGGTTTTTCTACTGGTGATTATATTGGTACTTTTAAACTTTTTTGAAAGATCGATTTTTTTTTTGAAAATTATTTTTAGTGTTCCTGTTTCCTGGTGTTACAAGTATGGGCTTAGGCTGCCTGGTGGAAAATCACATGTTGCTGGTTTTATCTGTAGCCTTTCCCCTGGGCTCTCATACCAAGGCTGGGAGACATACTGTGTGGTCAGATAGAAACTCTTCTTCCCACGTCAGTATCCTGTAGCTGCTGGCCAACTTGTCTGTCCGCCCCTGGAGGCTGTCAGCTCCCCGAGGGCCGGGACCACGTGGGTTCTGAGTCATCCTCTCACCCCGGTGCCTAGCACGGAGCGCGGCACAGGTATTTCAGCACACTTCCCTGAAAACACAGCCCGCCCAGGCTTAGTTCTAAATACACTATTCACACCCAGTCCTCCAACTGGGGTCCTCTTCCAGGACGTCCTTCCTTATGGGGGAACCCTCGCCCACGCCAGGGGCACCAGGTGGGGCATGGCTGAAGGAAGGAGTCGTGTTTGACTTGTACGTGTTCTTGAATGCCGAGAAAAAGAGTTTAGAAACAGAATTCAGCTGATTTTGTGTTTCCCCAGTTCAGAATTGAAACTCAAACTGGGAGCTGTAGGAAGGTAGGTTTGGGCTGTTTAGGGGACAGACTTTTTATATTGTTTCTGTCTGCACATGGAGGAGGCTGCCTGGGAAAGTAGCGAGCACCCCAGGACTGTGGGGTCAGATGGAGGCTGGCCAGCTGCCCGTCCGAGGACACGACGTACTAGGACTGGTCTGGCAGGGGAGCTGCAGACTGCAGCCCCTCTGTTCTCTCAGTTCTTAGGAGCTGAGGGAGCCAGGGAAAGGAGTGCTTCCCTAGTGTAACACAGCCTGCACTCGGAGTTAGAAAACCTCTTCTTGCTCAGTCTTCACCACCTACCAGACCGGTGGTTGTGTGGACATTTGAGTTTCCCTCTGAGACCTTCTTCCCTCACTCTGTGTTGTTCTGTGCCTAGAGGAGCAGGGGAGGGGAGGCGACATTGGACCTCCTGGACAGGACGGTGTGAGCGCCCTGGCTCTCTGGCTTCCAGATATCCAGCCGGCGGAGGGGCTGGCCGCAGGCGGCGGGGTGAGAGGAGGCTGGGAAGGCGTGTGTGGCCACCTCCCAAGGTGGACAGGGGCTGCACCTGTCCCAGGCAGTTAATCCCCACCTGCTCCTCCTGTCCCTCCAGCCCTGGGGACAGTGGCAGCTTCCCTGCACGGTTGCTGGCCTGGGGTTCTTCAGTATCCAAGCTGAGTCTCCCTGACTGCTGCCCACACCTGCTAAGACCCCTTCCCCAAGCCCTCTGTGACCACCCTTTCCGAGAGTGCCAACTATTCTCCACAGACCCGTAGCCTCTCTAGGCCTCCGTTTCCTCGCTTGTAAAGGGAGTTTTAAAAAAATCCGCCCCAAGGCTTGTTGGCTCACACTGTGAGGCTAACGTGAGTTGCAGTGAGTGCAGACTCCTGCTCGGGAGGGCGGGGCGGGTGTGCAGGGGATGCCCAGTCTGCGCCAGCCCCCTGGCCCAGCCACACGGCTCCCCCCGGGCGGGGCCGTCCAGATCCTGATTTCCTGACCCAGGTTCAGTTACCCAGCTGTGAGCTTGCAGTGGCCCCTCTGCAGGGAGCTGCCCCCCGACTGAGCTGGCCCACACCGGCCCGCCCCTCCCCTTCCTTCCTGGGGGGTGGCTAGGAGGCCCTCCGTGCACTTCAGTGAAGGGAGAAGTATCTGTGAGCCATTTTCCAGGGAGTCCCCCTGTCCCCCCTGCCCAGGGCATGGCCAGGGGTGAGAAAAGCTGGAGGCAAAGATGTTCAAAAGGACCCACTAAGATCATTCTTGCTTCAAAATAGACAGTGAAAATAAACAAGAAAAATCTGTCCAGTTAATACAAATACCTAAGATATTTTTTCCATGTTCCGAAATTTGTTCACTCATGGAGGACATGCTGTTTATAGCCACGATCACAGCGTACATAACGTTCTGTGCTGAACTTTTCCACACGTTCATCACACCCTCTGGTGTTTCCAGAGAGTCTTCACAGTGGCCACTGTTGGTGGCCATGGAATATTTACTTAGCAAATTAACACAGAGTTTACAAAGTCGCTCGCCTGTTACAACTTTGCATGGGTAGCTCTGGTTTCCTGCCACTGAATCATTTCCTTGGCACAACCCTCCCCGCCAGGGTGACCACCTGGAAGAGCGTGAACGTGGCTGTAGTTCCTAGCGTGGTCGCCGTGGTCCAGGAAGACTGCGTCCACGCACTCTTCTGCAGAGCGTGACCAGAGTAGTTTCAACACCAAGCCGTCACTCTAAGCATGTTTTTACCAACTTAGTAGGTGAAAAATTCGACGTTTTTCCCCAATTTCGTAGGTGAAAAATTCGAGGTACTTGGAGATTATTTTAATTGGCACTTACTTTAATTATTTTAATGGTGCAAATGTTTCCCTACTGACTTGCTTGTTGCGTGTTTATACGTGTGACATGTATAGATGCTGCACAATCCATGTGTGTTTGCTCATGCCTGAATGGTCTGTTAGTGTTGTTTAAATTGATTCATGGACAGGGGGTTGAGAGGGTGTGGTTTTTGTCAGTAATTTGCCAATAATCTTCTTGCCTGCCATCCTTGTTGGCATTTAGAGTTGAAGAGGACCCGTCATCCTGCCCCATTTTTAGGCTCTGAGCAGCAAGGCCCACTGTCCCCTGAAAGTACCCCAGTGTCCATACTTTAAAATGGAAAGCAGCCATCTCCTCTGAGGAGTCCTTTTCTTTCCCAAGTCGAGCATCCTGGCCGCCTGCAGAGAGCAGAGCGAGCAGGGTCAGATCCCAGCTCTGTCATGTCCCAGCCACTTGCTGGTCAGCCACTTAGACAGCCAAATGGCCTCTCCAAACTTCAGTCTCTTAGTTTTAATGGGGGTTGGGAGTAAAGTAGCGACTATGAAAATGTAGTGTGAGGTTTGGAGGGGTGATGTCGACTCCTACCAGCTTACAGATAGGCAAGCATTAGCCGAAGCCGTGAATCAAAACATAGTTCCTAAATATTGGCAGCCCAAACGTGGAATACAAGGCTTGGAGCCTTGATTTGGGGCATTAAAAAAATAAAATCAGTAAAAACTGAGATACATCAGCTGTCGCCCACCATGCCTCCGGGAAACAGGGAAGTTCTGGCTCAGCCCCGTCGCCACTACTTCTGTTCTGCATAACTCTGCTGACTTCTTGTTCCACAGGCAGCTTCAGCAGCAGCAGGCGGAGCTGGAAGTGCACCAGAGAGACGGGCTGTCATCCTATGACTTATCCCAGGTGAACTTCTGGAAAACTTTCCCAGCTGGAACTGTCTCCAACCCAAAGGGCTAGGGACTAAATTCAACCCTTAGCTTGAGCCTCTCAGCCTAGTAGGTGCTGTTGCTCCCTCCACCCACAGTGCAAAGAGCATCTGGCCCCCGGTGGCGTGGGGGGTGGGGGTGGGGGGTCTCCTGTGACTCTTCCATGCAGAGCTGAGCCATGAAGAGCACAAATATGTGAAGATGGGGTGAAGCACCGTGAGCCATGGTCAGTTGGTCCTGGGACATCAGAGGGCCCATTGGAACATCAGAGGCTGTGTGGGACCTCTGGTGCCCACGTATTCGGAGGCCGGCCAGTGCTGTCCTGAACCTTCACCCTCCAGCCTCCTCGCGCTTCCCCCTCATTTGGTCTGAGCGCCTCTCAGCACACCTCCTCCTGTCATGCGCCCTGCCTCCCGCTTCACCGGCACTGTCTCCATCCCTCCTCCACCTCCCCCGTCCCCCATCCCTTCTCCTCTTCTTGTCCTCTTCTCACTGCTTCTGGCCCTAGAGACCCGCAGCTTGTGTTAGTATTTGGCCTCTCTCTTAAACTAAATGTTACGTTCACCTTTCCTGATCTTTAAACTAAGTTGATTATTTTTATTTATCTCCCTTCAAGTGATCAGTGTGACTCCAGTGACCTTCCTGTGACCTCTCGTTCACACCCCAACCCCATCTGTTCTTGGCTTTCATCTATAGAAAGCTCCCCCCTTACAAAACGTCCAAGCCGGAAATGCCCTCGAGTCTGAGGGAGGGGCCCCGGTGGAGGAGAACGGGAAACTGCTGCAGGTGTCTGTGCCTCACTCTTGGGATGTGCTCTCGTGTTTTCGTGTGCAAACAGGTTCCTGTCCCCAACCTTCCAGCTGGTGTTCACGAGGCCGGAAAGTCTGTAGAAAAGGCAGATGCAATCTTCTCCCAGGAACGAGATCCACGTTTTGCTGAGATGTTTGCAGGAATCAGTGCATGTAAGTTTCCAAAGGGTGCTGAGCTTGTGAGGGTGTGGGGTTTTGCAAGGCTCTCCGGCCGTCTGGAGGCAGCCAGCCTTGAGGGAGAGTGCCTCGGAGGGCGAGTTTACAGTGACTGCTACGGGGTGTACAAGGCTCACCAAGTACGCAGTCCTGGCAGAGCCTCTCTACCCCGGCCTTGCCTCTCATGTCCCCGTTCCCTGGGGCAACCAGCCTGGGCCCTCTGACATCTCATCTTCAAAATTTAAGGAATTGGAATAAATGAGCTCTACTCATTTTAGAGTTTTTAACTCTAAACTTTAAACTACTCAATTTAGTTTTAACAAGCCGAAGACGTGGCCCTGGTTAAAAAAAAAAAAAAATCTCTAATGTAGAGAGGACCACGTTGTAAAATAAAACTATGCAGTAAAAAGAGAAATAAAAAGTATCCACCATCTCACCACCTGGATTTAATCTTCCTCAGCTTTTTCAGGGTCATCCCTTCTGTCTTTTCCTACACATACAAATTCTCCTTATGTACAGGGTTGGGCTCATGCTGTTGGGTAGCTTACTTTTTTTACATGACAATTTATTATGAACATCTCCCCAGATCACTAAACAATCTAAATCATTCTAATCACTTGCGTTGGGTTCCAACTGCATGGACATTCCGCAGCTAACCCTTCATGGTCACTAGGGTGAAGGGAGATACTAGCCAGCTCATGGCCGCAGTGGAGTGTGGGAAACGCCGTGACCGGAAGGGAACCCCAGTGGTGTCCTCTCAGGACTAAGCAGCTGAGGACAGCGTGGGCCAAAGCGAGGACACAGAGGCCCCAGGCAGCTGGGAGAAGGAAGATCTCAGTACTCCTGATGCCAGCATGCGTGGCGGAAGACCGCAGCCCTCGTTCCCTCTTGGCTGTGGACCAAATGCTAAGAACGCAGGGAGCACACTGGAGCTGCCCGCACTGAGGGCAGTGGGTGCCGGCCCAACACAAAGTCCAGCTGCCAACGGAAACCAGACCTGTTAGCACAAGGGAGCTCCCTGCTGTCGGTTCCCACCGACTGTGCAGATGGGCCACTTGCCTGCACCAGTATTTCCTTGACTTTTTAACAGGGAAATATAGTTTCATCTGGAAAGAGGAAACAATAGGACATCTCAAAGGTTCCCCTTCCTCCCAGAGAAGGCTGAAATATCTGACCAGATACCCCCAGCGTTTCTGGGAAATCCATTTGAAATTGTAATAGTCTACGAACATAGACGCCTTCTCATAAGGATGACAAAATGGAGGGGGGGGGAATCAACAGAAAAGAAAAAAGCGAAGGAAAATATGTAGCCCCCCAATTTTTCCACCAACCAAGCTGCTTTCATATATGAAAAAAAAAAAAAAACAACAGAAAGACCGTCTCAGACATGCACTGTCTACTTGCACTTCTTGGAAGTTATTTCTTACTTGTGCTTGTTTGGGAAATGGATCAAAATATGGGACACAAGAATGGAAGTGATCAGTTGGAAAAGAATTAGTGATGAAAAATGACACTGCTAACACCTGGAATTAGTATAAAAATTGTTAGAAGATACAAAAGGTGTTTTAAAATAAATAAAAACCAGAGTCCAGTCAGTTCAGCAAAAATCCAGACATACTTTTGGACAGGGGACTAGAAACAAATTTCTTGTATATACTATTTTATCTCTGATATTTATAAAGATTCTAGGGAAATGGGAGGGCCTTTTGGGGAGCTCTGGCCACCTCAGCTTACCGGAGGGAGTGAGCGTTCACGTTCCCACTCCTGTTTCTCAAACTGCCACAGAAAGCACCCTCTTCTTCGTGTAAGCGCTAAGCAGCCCAGCTGGGGTTTCAGCTCGTTTCTTCAGCCTCCCCCTCTGGGAGACACTGCTGAGCTGAGTTCTCTACGTACCATCCTGTGGTGGCAGAAAAGCATCATATCACGCATCCTATGTGGGCCTGAGTGTCTTCCCTTGTCTGAGGAGCTCTGCCTCTCCAAGAAACCCTTGTGGAAGCTCAAGGAACACAGGTCGGGGCTGCCCCAAGGTAGCCGGTCCCTGGCCCATGTCAGTCAGCACCTGCTGGGAGAGGGCAGCGGGGGCGGGCGGGGTCCTGGGCCCCTAGAAGGAGGGCTGGGCGCGGACTCAGGCCCCAGGTCCTCCCTTGCTGACTCATGCCCTTGGACAAACCGAGCCTCAGCTTTCACACTAGCAGGTGAGAGCAAATGTTTAGTTGCTGTTTGCTTTGAGATCAGCCCCTGTTCTGTTATGATCGCTGTCTTTCCATTAGGGAGACTGAGGCAGAGGTGGGTTAAACAGCATGTCCAAGGCCACGCCCCTGATAAACAGGGCAGAGCTGGGCCTTAGAGTTTGTCGTTCTAACCGTTGCTCTGTGCTTCCTCTCACACAACATGAGATGTGTCATTCCCACCAGGGAGAGAAGGACCTCGTAAACTAGCGTCTGAGGGAGAGCTCTCGTTAGTTCTTTTCATCTTCCCAACTCCAGAAGGGCCTGCCTTCAGGTGGCTTGTGGCCCCAGAGCCGCAGAGGACAGCCTGGGGCCCTCGTGAGCAGGGAGGGCCCGGGAGATGAGCGTGCAGAGGCCGGGAGGGAGCAGGCCACCTGCGGATGGACTGCCCTGGGCCCTCCTGCTTGTGTGTGCCACCCCCCACAGCTGTTCACCTGTCCGTGGGGCTCCCTGCCCTGGGGTGTGTAGGGCAGGAGCCCCTCAAATGTGACCCTTGCTCTGCTTTTCCCAGCGGAGAAGAAGATGATGAGCTCAGCCTCGGCAGCGGGAACCCAGCAGATCTACTCCCAGGGAAGCCCGTTCCCCGCCGGACACTCGGGAAAGGCCTTCAGGTGCGTGCTGGGGAGGGCGGAAGGGGGCAGAAAGAGGCCCCTCACCACTGACTCCCTGGGTTTCAGAACTTGGCTCTGTGTGCAGCAAATCCTGCAAACATCACCTCGTGGTTCCCCATCAGTAGGTGCTGGACCAGGCTGAGGATTCTGGTGGCTCCGGTTCTGCCCTGAGAGCCCTCAGTGAGTTCCCATAAATATATAGTGGCGGTTACGGTTTCTCAGATGTGAGGGGTGCCAGCCGCTGTGTCCTGTAGTGGTACCTGCCAGGGAGAAGGGGGCGAGTTGGCCTCTAGCCAGGACCCAGATGGAGCGGAGCGGGGGCACCTGACGAGGCAGCAGGAAGTGCCCGTCCCGGGCTCCCAGAGGCCATGGCCATCTCCAAGGGGGAGAGGACAACTTGACCCACCATGTCTGGGATCTCAGCCTTGAGGGCCACTCCTGGGAGATACAGGCAGGATGCCCGGTCTTCCCGAGGCTTGGTTCTTAGCATCAAGGGCCTCTTGTAGGTCATTGAGGAAGCAGCGAAAACACCACTAGAGGCAAGGCCTGGCTCCAGTGCCTGTCAGGGAAACAGGAGCAGACGCTGGGAGAATGGCCGGAGGAGAGACGGGCAGCCTTCAGGGAGAATGTGTGGGCACTCATGAGAGCCCATCCAGTGCCCCCAGACCTACTAGGAGAAGCATCTCAAACCTGTGCCCAGGAGGGTGGGGCTCCCTATTCAGCCCACCCTCTGGCTAACTTGGCCAAAGCTGAGTTTCCAGATGAGATGTAGGCAGGGACTGAGGCTGGGCAGGTGGGACCAGCCACCCCAGGGAGCAGTGCCTGCTGGGGATTGCCCTCACTAACGGGGTGAGGCTCTCGCTTCCACACTGGTCCGTGGACGGACCTCCTAGGGAGGCGGCAGGTAGTGTGCCAGCCGTGCCCGGGAACAGCAGACTTGAGATCTTGGAGCGGCTCTGACCAGCTCTGCAGCCGGGCCTCACTGATTGCAGCCTGTTCCGAGGCTCTGGGGAACCCTGGCCACAGGCAGCGACTGTCTGATCTGGGGACAGGAGGACAAGATGGCAGCCCCCAGGGAGCTGTTCCTGAACCACGGTCCCAGCTGGTCACCCAGCTCTGCTGAGCATTGGCCAAGGCTGCAGACTTCTCTCCTGCTGCTGCGTTCCTCATACACTGAGCGCGGTGACCAGCGGTGGTTCTGTGCCAGGCTCTGTGCCAGCCTCTGTCCAGGCCCGTGTTTACCGAGTCCTCGTAACACTTGCTGCTCATCCTCCAGTCTTGACAAAGGGCAGCAGGGACGGAGCAGAGGCCAGAGGTGATGAGGAGCAGCCTGAGGCAGCGTGGCTGGGAAAGGCCTGGAGGCAGAAGTCAGGGTGCCACCTGACGAGCACGCAGGGCACGCAGGCACCAGGGATGTGCTGAGCGAAGCCTGGGAGGCAGGAGCTATGGGGAGGCTTCGAGTCCTGGAGAAGCAGAATGAGGCTGCGGGGACTTTGAGTGCTGCACTCAGGAGTTTGGGCTCCATCACTCATGACTTGTGGGGGAAGAGGGACTTGAGGACACAGGGTCCTGGAGGAAGTTCGGGGCGTGGTGGCATGGGGCACAGACCTGGGGAGCGAGGCTGCAGGCAGGTGCTCAAGACATGCAGTCTGGCTGGAGGTGCGGGGCCTGTCACAGAAACAGAAGGTGGGCCCGGGGGCTTTCTGCCAGGACCCCTTCCCCAGGGCCAGCAGTGCTGCCACCGGCTCTCCTCAGTCAGTGCTGCCAGGGCCCCGAGCGCCGAGGGGGTGGAGGAGAGGCCCCCATGGGGAACAGGGATCAGGAAAGGGCCTCCGGGCTCACGCACTCTCAGGCGGGAGAATGGGAAAGGAGCGCGGCCGCTGAGGCAGAGATCTCAGGAGGACGCGAGTGACGTTCCCCTGGACGCTGGTTGCACCGGGACGCCCCAGGCCCTCCCTGTTCTCAGAAGGGCCAGGCAGCTTACAAAACACACTGTAATACAGTTAGTAAGATCGCGCCGCGTCTTCTCTGCTGGTCTATAACCTGCCTCTCTTCAAAACCCGGCTGAAAACCCGCCTCCACCACAGCCTTCCGCGATTAGCCCGCTTCCTCCCACTTGAGTCGCTCGTGGGCACCCAGCACTTTGTGCAGAGCGAGTCCCAGCGAGGCAGGAGCAAGGTCCTGAAACGGAACGGAAGTCTCCCCCAGCTCTCCGTCTGGAAGGGGCTCTTTGGGCAATTAGCGCAGCTGGGAGGGTCTCACGGAAGACGCGCCTGGCGGCGCGGCCGGGGCAGGCCCAGCGGCAGAGGCA